TACACTTGACTAAAACAAACTCCTTTACATCTCTGGCTGCAGTGAAACGTGTGGAGAAGCCTAGAAATGCAAGTACAACCAGCAATTTCAAGTTACTGTTACTTTGTTTTGAGAAATCAGTTTCATAGTACTGTTTTTCAATCTTTTTAAGTTTTTTCGTACCATCTACTTTTATAGATTTCTTTTTCAGAAGTAAAGTTTTGTACATATGCACATGTACATATCTGTTTAGTTTGGGTTCATTTCTATAGTATTTTGTAACAATTAAAATAAAAATTTAAGCACCTGGTTATATTTAGTTTTGCTTTTCCAGAATGTCGTATTCCCAGCAGTGGGATAGCAGGGTCATGTGGTAGATGCGTTTTCAGTTGTTGTCACTGGCTGGTGGGGATGTGGGGCTGGGAGGAGCCTGGTGGTGAAGTCTGCGTGTTACAGTGAGCCTCAGCTGAGGACTGAGTCCAGCACTCTCAGGCCATGGCTCCCCTCAGCACCGGCCAACATAGTAACTGAGGAATTCTTCATCAGAATTCTATTTGATTCTAAGTTGCTAGGCTTGCCAGAGAGTCTCAGAAATTTACTTTTTTTTTGTAGGGAGAAAGGAAATGTTTTCATGGCATTGCTAACAATTGTATACATCTCTGCCTTTTTTCTGAAAAGATTAAGATCATGGGAAGGAATTGCTCTATGTAAAATTAAACCTTTGTGACATAAAGAAGCCATTTATAGGACAATAGTTTTGATAACATGGATATATTTAAGGATCGTAACCTCAAATGTAATTTTTTAACTTTGAATATTTTCCCATTGTTTTGTTTAAAAACAGTGTAAACTACCCTCCGGCCCCTATAGCAGGGACATGCAGCGCCTTGCTCTGTGGCCTGCTGTCCCCACAGAGGAGGCCCTAATGCTGTGACATGACCACCACATTGGAAGCATTTTCTACTTGGCTCCCGTCACGGATTTGTCTGCACTAAATCCAGATGCACTAGGGCATCTAGCTAATGCTGCCCACAGCAGACACAGCACCACATCACAACCAATCTCATCTTGCTAGCATTCCACAGTCTTTTCCAGCTCAGATCACTTTCCTTAGATCTGGTAGAAAAACATGAATTATTTGACACAGATTCTTGTAAGATTGGTCTCAGGAAAACCAGTTATAATGTAAAGTGCCATTTTAATGACATAGGACTGAATGTGTATTTAGGGAGGTGTTTTCCTACCTGGTAAAGCTTGGAGGAGACATCTCCATCCTTAGTCCTCGTCACAGACTGTAGATGACTAGCTGGGCCTCCATAGATCACTGCCATGTACGTTCCTCACATTGGGAAATGCACCTCTCCCCGTTACCTGGGCATGTTGTAACTCACTGTCGATCAATAGATGGTGACTTGAAGGCTAGGTAGGTCAGAAAAGGCAACGAGAGGAAATGGATCCTTCCCATGATCTCTGCGACCAGTCCAGTTTCCTCGAGGCTCTTTCATAAGGTGGACACCTGCCCTGCCTGTGTGGAGAAAGCGCACAAGGAAGTCCCAAGCTTCCAGATCAGAGAAGTCAGGGTTGGCTTTCAGAAGTCCCAAGCCCCTGCTGCACCGGCTCCCTGTGACCGCATGGAGACCACACACTGCAGTTGTCCACCTGGCCCACTAAAACCAGTGAGAGGTACCTTTTTTAAGCTACTGAACTTTGGGGTAATTTTCTACGTAGCAGTAGGAATTAGAACAGATTTTAGATAACTAGACCAGGTCGCAAAACAAGCCAAAGCTCGTTGCACTGTGTTGAATGCCTTCTCTAAAAAATAAGGAAAGTACAAACAATATTGTTGTACTTGAGAGAACAAAGGACTGTTATGGAGTGGTGGAAATTTTATCAACTTGATGATACATCAGTGTGCATAATAAAAAGTGTGGCTGAGAGCCGCATGATGCAGGCAAGGAGATGTCCAGACAAGTACAAGAAGGACCCTGTTGCTGCCTCCAGCTGCCTGTAGGAAGGTGGGCGGTGGTCAAGGACAGGTGAGTGCGTCGAAGGAAGCGCAAGACATTTTCATCCTCGGACTCTTTCGAGTGGCAACTGTTTTTCAACTTGGAATAGCTGGGACTGTAAAATTGTTGATCAGTACCTCAGGCAGGTCTTAGAGCTTTTCAGTTACAACCTAAGGAAATGTTCTCTGTAAACAACAAAACTCTCAGGGCTCTTGTTCCATAGCTGTCTCAAGGTGAGCCTCTTAAAATGGAGTGGACTTTATAAGCTGAAACATAGGAAATCTATTTTAATTATTTTTTTTAAGAATTGTATCATATTAGACAAATATGCAGAATAAAATGAAAACCAGTTATACTTTTAAACTTTTATGGAAGGCAATAGACAGAGAAAACCACTCCTCTTTACAAAGGAGTTACAAGCTGAGTTGGTATGGATTTCAGCATTGCCATGAGCATTTTCATTGAACCCTTTCTGGAATGCATATGTTGTACTGGCTGATATTCTGAGCCTACACCAGCCTACAGTATTGTGTGTACAGGGCAAAGGTTCATTGCCTTGGAGCAAGAATGAGACTCAGTGTGCCACATCCTGAACAATTAGATCTGAGGAGCCTCGGACAGTGACATCCGAGGCTGGCCCCGACTTTGAAATTCCAGCAGTGTGAGGTGTGTGAATTGTTGTGAAGGAAAGAGCGCAGATTGTGGCTGCAGAGAGACTGCGACAGATTGCTTGCTGACGATGCTGATGGCAGTCTCCAGCCCCACTCAGAGACGGGAGGGAGTCCAACTCCCTCCTTGAAGATGGATACGCTTGTGATTTGTAACCAACCAAGTGTAGTGACACTTCCTGATTTTGAAGGCTAGATGGGAAAGATGACAGAGCTTGCAGCTCCCCAGCTCCCCAAGGCACCAGGTGAGCCGTGGGACTGCCCCGAGGCTGCTGTGCTGTGAGGAAGCGCAGACCTTCCCTTGCAGAGAAACTGAGAACAGATCCCACGTCAGTCCCCAGCTGCCCCAGGCCTGTTGCAACGCCAGCTGCTGCCTCACTGCAACGGGAGCCCGGATCCCACGTGGAGCCATCTGCAGTGTGACCTGTGACTTCATGTGCAAGAGTGACATTGTTCAAGCCAAGAGGCTTTGGAGCTGAGTTGTTAACCGTGACATGGTAAGTAACATCCCCCACCATAGAAACCCTTAAAATGGGAATTTCCTCTTTATGTAATAATGGGATTCTTTGTGAGAATGTGTATTTCACATATGTAATAATATATGTGAAGTGTGTATATGGTGCAATCCATTTTATTCCTTTTACTCCTTCAGCATTTTATGTCCATGTCGCTCTGTGTACCCCCGTGTTTGCAGGGGCTGTGTAGTGTGGCATCCACTGTTTCGTGCTTACCTCTTCCGGTAGCAGCATCCCTGGATGGTACCCAACAGTCACACCACAGACTTCCTGGGTCAAACCACCTTGTGGCTGGCTGTGAGAACTGCTTGGGGCATGTGGCCAGGAGTGAGAAGGCTGGGTCAAGGGCAGGTGTCTGATTCTTGTCAGCACTGCTAGACTTCTAACCAGCTGCACTGCCCAGCAGTAAAGATGAAAACATGTGCATAGCAAGGTGTTGCTCACAGCCCAGTTCCTTGGAAAGGGCTAGTGGCTCTGCTGGGGGTGTTTCCTATAAGCTCCCCAGACAGCTGCTTGGCTCACCTCCTCCCTAGGAGGAGGAAGTCCTACCTCAGATAACACCTCATTAGCCCCCTGCCAAGAACCACCGCCATGTCACCCCAGGCTGCCTCCACCTTGCTCTGCTTTCTGTTGTCATTCTTGCACTTTGCACTTGTGTCTGTGTAACAACTGCTCCTCTACCGCATCATTGACTAACACACAGTAATGGTGCTGGCTGCACGTCTGTGAGCAATGGACATTGGTCCTGAGGGAACTCCTCCAAGCATGACTTCAGTGCCATTCAGCTCCCCACCCACCCCAACCTTTGTTAGCTGAAAGAGGCGTATTAGAACGACTGATGCCCCACCCCCAGTTTCTCCTTGTGTACAGTTGGGGCTCACTGTGCTTGGGGCACAGGGGACTGACAGTTTCAGGTCCCTTTGGTATCCTAAGTGCCTCTAGTGAGCTTCCCTTGGTCGGCCTCCTACTGAATGGTTCCAGGATCTCTGGGCTGGCTCTCTAGTGTCACCAGGCCTTCACCAGTGAGTACTCGGAGGAAGAAGGGAGCACTGGGATGTGTGACACTATCCACTAGCTCTACATGAAGAAAAAATCAGTTAGAATGCACAGTCCTGTGCTCTGTCACACTGGCCTTGTCTGCGGTTACTGGGTGCTCAGCAGCCGTGTGTAGCTGTTTCCACTGTCAACCTCCTAGAGGGCAGCACTGCGTGCAGAAACTGACATTGCCAGCCCTTCTGCTGGCGTCTCTGCCTTCGTTTCTCAAGATCAAAAGGGTCAGGATTTTGCCCCATCATTAAAAATAAAAATCTGCTTCCTTGAGAATTGGGAGGGCAGGAAGCAGTGTACGGCCCCACTGGCTGATCTCTGAGGACACCCCGAGTGCAGCAGTGTGCCTCTGCATGGCCCAGGACGCGGTGTGAGCAGCACAAGGGCAGCACGCAGATAAGGTCTGTGTCTCTGTGCTGTACATGTGTTCCAAAACGAACAAGTCTTCTGTCTTCTTCAAGTGTCTTATGCCCTAGGAATTGTTCCTCTTTTGGGGGCTGGGATAAAAAGAACTTCAGAGTTGTGAGTTTAAGGGTGGAGTTAGTAAGTTGTTGCTAGCTGACCCTTGACTTATTAATACCACCTTCAAATTTAACACATCTGAAAGAATTACAGGGAAGTTAAACATTATCAATGTATTTGGGACATCTTTTGCACTTCTTTGAAAGCCTCTGAAAATTCAAGCAGAAATCAACACACTTCCATCTTTGTTTTTACTTTCAATAAATGTCTTTGTATATATGTATATAGAGAGAGTGATATACTTAATTACCGAGTCATTTAGCAGGATTTTTAAATTTTATACTGCATTCATCCAACACAGCTCTTTCCAGATTGATAGGATGCAAGTGAGGTCAGAATTAGGGCAAACCCAAAAGGCATGCAAATGTACATTTCTCTTCACTGATGATGGAAGCTGTCATGTGTGGACCAGACTTGGGAGCCAAGGGCCCCTGTGTGCAGCCGGCCAGCACTATTTTACAGGAGAATGGCAGCACAGCTTATCATTGAGTTACATTGCTGTGAGGGCTCAGTGCTACTAACATGTAATCAAGGAGACACTAGCATCAGCAAGACATGTACAAGAACTCGTACAACGCTGCAGCACGTTTCTGCCCAGGCTTGGAGGGAGGAGGGGTTTTTTTATGAAATGATATTACACGGATCACTTTGTGGCAGGTTGTCTGTCTCATTTTATAATATATGCTTTTAAAATTCATTAGCAAATCACATTCTCATGCACACAAGTGTTTCAAACACAAGAAGCAAGTCCATTTATAGATAGTCCAAGCAATATTTGTGTGTGTGTCTGTGTGTGTGGCTGCAGACTGAATGGAACATTGAGACTTGTGCGGTCCATAGCTCTGACATCACCTTATTTTTGGATGTCGCACTGCAGAAGTAAAACAATGGAAGGGTCGCTCTTTGCAGCTTCTTTGAATTCATCCAGTGTGATCTGGTCATCTTTGTTCTTATCCATCTTGCTGAAAATCTTGTCTACTCGCTGCTCCGGCGTGAGACCATCCTCATTCATCTTCATCATGATCACAGTGCCCACCATTTTGTAGATCGCCTTGGGAGAAAGAGGAGGGTATTCACCTGACTGGGTCCCACTCATCCTCCAAGCATCGGCTTCTCTTTTCCCAAAGAGGGTTCATTCCCTATGCTAGTTTCCATGGCAGCCTGTACTGATACCCCCCCACATACACCAGTCTGAATTCATTTCACATTTTACTACAGTAGCTGCTTCATCTGAGAGTATGTTGTGTCAATCTAGGAGCTGTGAGCCATGCTTACTGCCGTAACTTTAGGCCTTACCACAGTGCTGGACACACAGTAGGTCTCTAGTAAATCATTATTGAATGAAAACAACATCCTTTCAGCTTGCTGCTGTGTGGGATGTGGGGAAGGCAGGCAGTAGGAGGAAGGACTAAGTGTGGTGCTAGTGAAGATGAAACTGAAGGAACCAGTGTTGTGGTGTAGGGAGTTAAGCTGATGCCTGCAACGCCAGCATCCTGTATGTGTGATGGCTGGAGTCCAGGCTGCTCCACTTTTGAACCAGCTTCCTGCTTTATGTCCCTGGAAAGCAGCAAAAGATGATCCAATTGCTTAGAAGACCCAGTGAAGCCCCTGGCCCCTGGCTTCAGCCTCACTCTCCAGCTGTTGCAGCCTTTTTTTCTTTTCTTTCTTTCTTTCTTTTTTAATGTATTTATTTTTCTTGAAATGGCAGATTTACAGAGAGAAAGAGATGTAGAGAGCTTTTGTGGTTCACTTCCCAAGTGGCCACTTCAGCTGAAGCTGAGCTGATCCCAAGCCAACTGCTTCTTCCAGCTCTTCCACACAGGTAAAGGGTCCCAAGACTTTGGGCTGTCTTCTATGTTAATGGCTTTCCCAGGCCACAAGCAGGGAGCTGGATGGGAAGTGGAGCAGCTGGGACATGAACTGGTGTCCATATGGAATCCCAGTGCATGCAAGGTAGCATTTGACATCTAAGCCGTCACACTGGGTCCACAGCCATTTTTCTTAAGATGAAATAAAGAGAGAAAAGGTGCAGAGCGTAGGATTCTATAGATGAGTATGACCAGAATTTATGCTTAAAGATTGGTTAAATAGGCTTCAGTTAGAGAAGATTTAACTAAAATAAATGTGAATCTTTCAGCAGGAGGAAGTGGTGGGTTTTAGGGGAGGTCAAGAACTGTAGACTGGGAAAAGGATCCTGGAGAGAAATAGTGTGTTCCGTCTCAGACACACTGAATGTGAGGTGCAGCTGACAGTCAAGGAGAGGCAGCCTGGAACATGTGCACATGGAACAAGGCCCAAGTGGGGAAGAACTCGCAATCTGTTGAGACAGGCAAGCCAGGTGTGCCGCCAACATTAAGTTCCGAAAGAAATTACTTGAGGAGGAAAGCAGCTGTTCAGAGCCAAGTCCTGGAGGCACAGTAACAGTGCCTGAATCCTGTCGGGAACGGGCAGGGGGCACAGGGGGCCTACAGGGAAGTGAGAATGTCTCACAGTTGGATTATGGTGATGGTTGCACACCTTTTTAAAAAATGTTACACTGCAGAATTAAAATGGGTGGAATTTATGGTGTGTAAACTACAGTTCATTAAACTTATTTTTAAAAAGAATGATAATTAGACAAGATGAAGGGAGTGGGTGTTGAGATCTTTAAGGGTGAACCCACAAAACTGGAGGCACCTATAGAAAAGGCCACTACCCAAGGCAACGACCAGCGAGAAGATGCCACTGGGGAGCCAGGAAGAGGACCCGTGCTGGCCACGAGGGCACCTGCATTCCAGGCTTCCAGCCCCAGGATGTCCCCTGATGTCCCCACCGTAACAGGCCATCTGCACACCAGGAGCCTGGACAAAAACCCAAAAAGCAGTCAAACAGCTTGACATCTGACTGCAGTCCCAGGAAGAAGAGCCAAAAACGATGCCCCCAGCTTCCTGCCCAGAAGCCTTTCTGAACTGCAGTACCCAGAGAAGACCCCAGATCTGCCTCCAGGACAGACTCCAGGAAGCCAAAGTCAGTGGGAGGCTGGAGGGCCAGGAAGGAGGAAGCTGTGCAGAGTTTCCAAAGTCTGCCTTAGGTCTTCCTTCCTCTGAGAACCAGGCTGCGCAGGGGAGGAACACCACAGAGGGGTCTCGTAACAATCAGCCTTCACATGGGCTATGGGACATTGTAGCTCTAACCAGCCAGAGGATACCTGTCTACCCCTCTTTCTTTTCAGGCAAAGCGTCTGGCCTCTGCTCATTATTTGCCCTGTCCCCCTGGGTGCTCCAGTTAGGGGTTACCCCGCACTGCCTTGAAGCTATCTCCTGACCAGCCAGTCGTCTGGGGTTCTAAATCCAAATGCTGCTTATTACTGCTTGTTCTACTATCAGTAGCCATCCACTGATTGCAGGCTTTTCCCTCCCTCCCCCCCAGGAACTTGTATTTCTCGTCCAGCATTCCTCAGTCTTTTATTGAAAATGTGTTTAGTTACTTGAAAGAAACATGAAGAGACACAGATTGAGAGATCTACTGGTTATCTCACTCCCCAGATTCCTGAAGCAGCTGGAAGTAGGCCAGACTGCACCAGGAGCCTAGGACTCAGTCTAGGCCTCCCATGGGACTAACAGTGTCCCAACTACTTGAGCCATCATCTGCTGCCGCCCTCCGGGAGTCAGGTGCAGCCAGGACTGTAACCCAGTGTGGCCACATAGGATGTGGCCATCCCAAGCTGAGTCTTGACTGCTCAAGCAAACAGCTGTCTCTCAGTCTGTCTTCTTGGATCTTCTGACCATTCTTTCTCAGTCACCTTTCAAGACGGCTCCAGGCTCATCATCTCTAAACCTTACCGAGCTCTAGGACCCAGCCCTCCTGGAACTACTTTCTTATTCATACTCTTAAAATGCCTTTGTACCTGAACAATCTCACCACACTTGTGACAAGTTACCATCCAGAGAACAGAGACCTCACTGACTATCTGAGCTGCTCAATACAGACCCCACAATGGGCACATAGTAGAAACAGTCCAACTGAAAAGAAACCCCTCCCAGTCTATCTTCCCTGACAACCCCTAAAACCAGCCTGGGGTGACCATGTATGTCACCTCTACCTGCCAAAACAAATCACACACATACTAGACAAAGAACATAATACAGATGTTCAGTCACAACATCCAAATGCCAGTAAGATTATGAGGCACACCAAGTCACTGGAAAATGTGACCTACAACCAGGTGGAAAATCCCAGTCGGTAAAAGCCTCCTACAAGAACATGCATGATGGTTAGGAGGAAATGAGGAGAGCTGGACTCGAGGGAGAGAAGCAGAAAGGCCAGGAGAATCCTGAAGTCCAAGACAAGCACTGCCGGCCTGGTTCCATTGCCTGGACTTGCCGTGTCCTACCATGAGCTGCCTGGCCCTCACAACCATTTCACAAAACTGTCCATCACCGAGACAAGAACAACACTGCTTTGTAATGATGTCCGGTCAAAGAGAAAACATTGATGGTACCACAAAATGCCGCACGTCCCTGCTTCCTGCCGGGTGTCTGCTGCTCCATCGCCAGTTTGAAGATGCCTGCTTCCTTGCATACTCCCCAAGTCACCCAGCCAAAGTCCTGATCCTGGGAGTCTCAACACCCTCTAACAGAATTGCCTTCCACTGTTCCCTCCCTACATGGGGGTGCAAGCTCAAGAGGCTTAACTTTGCAAATGTGTTGTTAGTGGTCTTTAGCTAAAGGGCACCAACAAGGATGACTTTGGGGAAGATGAGATTGACCTTCAGAGGGGAAACATGGCAGGAAGTGGAAAAGAAGAAACTTAGAAAAGCCTGTTTTATAGAGGGTCACAGAGACCTTGGGAAGAGCCAAGTGGAGGAAGGTAGAAGACGTACAACATTACAGGAGAAAGGTGACAAAATGAAGCCCCACGTGTAGTGGAGTTATGTTTTCTTTTTTCTAGTAAATTGGAAGATTTATAAAGTGGATACAAATAGAGAACTAAGGTATTGGTTTGTGAGTTGTGTTGGGAGAGAGTGGGCATTGAAGATGCAGAGTGCAGGAGGGAGGCCCACAGAGGGCATCCGTGAGGAGCTCAGCCTCAGAGGCAGAGTATGAGCAGGCTGTGGGGCACCAGGGCTTTGTGTTACCCTGTGATGGCATTGTGCCCAGTTTTCACGTGGGGATGCCCACTCCATGAACGTCCGCCCTCGTGGTATGGATAGAACATCTCCCCAGAATAGCCTGGGTCTTGCCTATGGCCAGTAGTGAGTCTCGCTCCTTCGACTACCATGGTGGCTGCAAGGGATGGGCACACACTTTCCCTGAGATATTCACACAGAAGTCAGGGAGCCATGCTCCAACTGCTGAGTGCCTGCTAGAGTCTGAGGGCCCAGCAGCAAGCAAGAGGATTCCTGCCACAGAGCTCCCAGTCCACCATACACTCTGCTGTACAGATGTGCAGGGCAGGGAGGGGTTTGACTGCATTGGAGTGGGGTTGGGGGGCACATGTGTATAGGATATGGAAAGAAGGGCCTCCCTGATCTGCAGGGTAAGGGGTGAGAAAGGAGCCTTGGAGAGGTGGGCTGAGGGGAAGAGCAGGAGAGAACCCTCACGGCATGGCTGAGCGCGAGAGGCAGACCCGGGAGGCTATTCATTAGAGTGCAGTGAGGGGGAGGGCAGGGAGGTGGGGAGAAGAGCAGCTGAGAAAGAGTCCGGCCTCTTGTGGCATGGTGGGAGTCTGAAGGAGGGGGCCTCTGGCAGCCTGTGCCGCTCACCCCAAAAAGCTGGGGTGAGGAAGAGGACGTCATGCCCTACAGAGCTGCACTAAGCCACAGGCAGACCAGTCCCGAGCACACCCAGAGTGCCCAGCAAGGCTTCCGTTTCTCAAAGCCCTCAGAGGCTGCGTGCAATGCCCACTGGCAGGGCAGGAGAGAGGCCTCCTTGGACCCGTGCTGCTGCCCTGGGCCTGGTCAGCGCCCCCTGAGCGCCTCACCTCAATGATCTCCAGCATCTCCACTCGGGTGATCTTGCCGTCACCATCCAGGTCATACATGTTGAAGGCCCAATTCAGCTTCTGCTCGAAGCTGCCCCTTGAGGTGATGGACAGGGCACAGATGAACTCTCGGAAGTCGATGGTGCCGTCTCCATTCTTGTCGAAGGTTCGGAAGGCATGCTGGGCGAACTTGGACGCATCACCATAAGGGAAGAACTGCAAGGTGGAACACACACTATCAGTCAGGGACAGGAGGGCGTCAGAACAAGCAGCTGGTTGTTTACCAGGAGGGAGTGACAGGTGGATTCCTACCGCCACTGCAGGCTCTCCTGCGATGGCCTACTCTGTTGGACGGTGGTGTGGCCAGGGTTCTCCAGGGCAGGCCTCCCTTTGCAGGTCTGCCACAACAGGCGCCTCACTTTTACATGTGGCTTTGAGTTAGTGAAGCCCAAATCATTCAAAAAGCAACAATGGGGGCAAGTCTTCCTTTGCAGAGGGAGGACAGAGCGTGTTCCTCTGCTCACCTGGGCTGGGGTACGTGCACATCCACTCCCTCTCCGTATGAAGGTGGCCGCTCACTGCCTGCCTGGCCCTCATTCCTCCTGCCCCTGGCTCCCAGCCCAGCCCATGCACTCAGCTCCTTCCTGGGTGTAGTCCCAGAGTCTGACTTCTTTTTCACAGGGACATTTCTTTTGCAGAACAAACATCTAAAAGGCATTAAAAATAGAGCATGACTGGGCTTATTTTCAAGAGACATAAAGAGGTTTCTTCACAGAGTCAGCCGTCACCGAGGGGGCGTGAGCGTCAGAGGATGGACACAGAAGGAAGGCAGAGGCTGCTGGGAGCAGAGACCACAGAGACTGGTCATGCTGGCCTCGGTGCCAAGGCCTGTGTCAAACAGCAGGTCATTTTCATCGTTAATCGGCGAACAGTCTTCAAAGCCTAAACAAAAACAAAAACTCACCCGGAGCTATTTTCAAGCAGAGAAGGGTTGTGTGTGTTCGAAGATGAAGAAATGCAGCAGCTATAGCCTCTGCAAGTTGATTACTGAGGACACGCACTAGTGTCACCTGCAAGGTGGACCAGCAGGTCATATGCTATGCACATGGCTGCCTCCCTGCCCACTGTGGGCACGTGCATGCTTCCCATCATGGCTCTGCTAAGCCTGGCTGCCCCCTCCACCTGCACTTAGGCACACACAGGACAACAGAAGACTTCTCTGCAGGAGCCACATGGTGCCAGTCCTCACAGGTTCTCTGTGTGGAAGACTCAACTCCAGGGGCAGAGCAGAGGAGGGCCTAGGTTTGTGATTCAGTAGCATTCACTTCCTGGATGCTGAAACTGGTTCCAGCTACTATTACCATGTAGTGAATCACCACAAAACTGAATACCTTAGAACATCATTTTATTAGCTCTGAAAAGAAAGTGAGAACGCCTTGTTTTTGTCACCCATGTGTCATTTTGGGGCTATGAAAACCCATGTCTCTGTTCTCTGTCTCCCTCCTCTTTTGAGAAAATTCTGCAGGCCCTGTTGTGGGTGCTGGGGTTACAGAGATCCATTGCTCCAACTCTCTGTGCTCTGCAGCCACGCAGCAGTTCTCGGGGGAGTTGGCCTGGAACTGGCCAAGGCCACCTTGCAGAGTTAGAGCTGGAATATAGCTCCAGGGGGCAAGGGATGAGAGACTGAACTGCGGGGTTCAAGCAGGAGGCCTGAGATAAGAAAAAGATCATTTCCACCCGACCCCAATCCTGCTTAGGGGCTTGGGACCTGAGGGCTGGTTGACAGGGGCTGGATGCCAGCCAGACCATTGAGCAGGTGTGGCTTTCTGTGTCAGCAAGTTTGATCTAAGGTGCCTTTAGCATGTGCATGTTCTTTGTTCCTTGCCAGGTGGGTGCTAGCAGAGTGCTTCAATAGTTGATGGAAGAATGCAATGAAAGGCTTATTTGGATGAAAAAGCAAAAATGCAGATTCCTGGTATGAGCGTGGGAGCCCCAGGAAGCTGAGTCCCCCTCGGAGGGGGCTCAGCACACAGCCTCCCTCTGCAGGTACGTGAGCCCACTGGGCCTTTACTTCACGGAGGTTTCTGGCAATGCCTTAACCATCTGATTTCTTACAGCATAGTTTTAAGTTCAGGGATACTTGACAGTTTTGTCTAAAAATAGTTGGGCACCTTTGGACAGTCTATTAAAAATTAATTTAGGTCTGAAAATCCTTGAGAGAAAAATCGATTGCGAATTTTGAGCTATAAAAGTTATATGGGCCTTGCGGCAGGTCTATTTCCTGACTCAGAACCAACTGTTTACTTCGAAAGAACTGAGTGTACATTGAAGAGCCCTCTAATATCTGGAAGGATGGTTTCCTGTGAGAATTCACTCCTCCATGTTCTGAGAAAGAACTCGAGTTCTTTTGATGAGACAATTCAGTGTTGTGTGGATCAGCCTAGAAGAGTGAGGCTCTCTCCCATCCGTCTCCTGAAGAAACGAGCGTTTTAAACTCCTGTTCATTTTTCTTAGAAGGCTAAAGAAGCAGAGTACTTCTGCCAGGTTGTTGTTAGCAACTTACTTTATTTGTGAATTTCAAGTTTGCTTCAACTCCCATATTAAGTGTGCAGGTTGACATAACTTGGGGAGGAAGTGATAAGCTACAAATCTTTTAATGTAACAGACAAAAAAAAAGAACTTTGAGGTTGAAAAATTATTGGTATACATTTCACATACTCATGTTATCTTGTTTAATCTTTATAACAGTAACTGACAGAGTCAAGGTCAATTTCCTTTTGTGGACAAGGAAACAGAATCCTGAAATATCGAGTCATTTGCTTGGGATTTTTGGCTGTCTGTGAAAGAGGGACGTGAGGGGAAATCTTGTCCAATCATGTCTGCTACACCTTGAAATATCTCTTAGCCAAGGAAATAGGCTTAAGTCCACACTGGATGAAGCAAACAATTTGGTGCATGACATATTTGTTAGTTTCCTTTGCCTCTGGAAGCTTCTGGAACCTTCTGGAAGCTTCTATGTACTGCGAAGGAATTATAGACAAACCACTGAGGGATGTTTTTCAGGACTTATTCTTTACCTGCACAAACACTTACTGAGCAACTGCTATGCGTTATGCGTGGTGTTAAGTACTAGAAATAAAACAACAGGGAATATTAAGGATATTAGGGGAAGTAGATATTACGGGAAGTTGATATGTAGTCAAATCACTATGTAAATAATTGTGAAATTACACTATGATAAACTATGAGGATATTGAACCAGATATAAGAGTAACAGAGGTGACATTATGAGGTTAAAACTTAGGTACTAATTAGCATGCAGTTTCTGCCCATGACCCTAATATGAAGCTACTGACAATTCGTTGCTCCATATGCCAGCCTAGTATCCAAGAGCCTGAAAGCGCTGGGATTCCAACACACAACTGCTCCTATGCACTCTGCACTCCCATCCATGGCAGCCCAAAGTGCAGGAAAGGAAAAAGGAAAACCCCAGAGAACACTGGAGGCTGCTGTCTCTCCCCAGGCAGACAACAGGGGCCTTTGCAGCATTAACCAGCTCAACCCCAGGAGGCCAGCACAGCTGGGTCTCTTAGGAGCAGCCCAGGCCCTGTGTCTTTCAGTGATCTATGCACTTGTGAAGGAGAGATTTGCTTTCTCAAGGGGGGAGAAGGGATGAGTGAGCACAGAGGCATCCAGCTGAGCACCTGTGGATGTGGTGTGGTACCCTTTCCCTCTGCACCTGCAGGGTTGTTCCCTCCCCAGGCTGTGCACACTACACTAACCTGTGATGCCATCTCTCGCTAACATCCCCATGCAACCTTCCCCTGCACCATCTCGATCCTTCCAGAACTTGTACTAAGTTTAGAAAAAGCATTGCAATGTGTCCCTTGGGCATCCTATTCCAACCTGCTGAACTTCCAAGCCCAAACTTTGGCTGGGGGTGGGCCATAGCCAGGACCCTTCGCAGCCCATGGAGGTGGCTGATGTGCTGTGTCAGCAGCTTGAGGTGGCAAGGCCACTGAGACCGCAGCATGAGGGACGGTCTCTCTCCAGGCAAGCTCCTAGCTGATTCTGGGCAGCCCTCAGACCTCAGAATAGATTTCTGCCCTTTAGTTTGCCTGAAACAGAGTTCATGCTAGAATCAAAGAACTGAGGTGTATTCTCGGACTGCTCAGCTGCTCATAGTCTTAGAGAGGACCACTATTGAGTCCCTTACAGGACACAATCCCCTTTAAAATGTCCTCACTGGGTTAATTCTGCTTGCTTTGGCCCTCAGATATCACAGTCTATATTGTGTGACCTATGAACACACAAAATTGCAACTGCCATTGCAATGAAGGAGTCTTCTTTATGTACTCATGAAATACAGCTTCTCTATCTTGGAGGTCATTGCTCATCATGCTGTTGTAATTAGCCAGCAACTTCCAGGCTCTTATGGATAATGTGGGCTTGCAGCCACCTCTCTAGGACCTGCTGCAACTGCAGTAGTTCTCAGTTCATGAGGGAGTCTCATGGAGCCAGGTCCTAAGCAGGTCCTTTCTTCCTATAAGTTTGGGACTTGGAGAAGGGTGATTATTCCAGGTTGAGTAACTGGCTTTGGGTCACAGCACCATGGAAGTAAAATGAGGTCACACCCAGGTTTGTCTTTGTCAGAGCCCTGGGTCTTCCCAAGTTCATTGCCTATCAGCCGGTGGACAAGCCATGGAGCTATCTTCTGAGAAGCTCCTTGGCGGTGGGGCTCCTCGCTGCACACTGCATCAACTTGCTCTCTGCTTTGGGCCAATTGAGCTTGCCCCTCTCCTGTGGAAGCCCTCCAAGGACCCCAGGCTACTTGTATGAGCTGCTCTGGCAGCTGAGGGCCTCATGCTTATACTGCAGCCTCCACAGTGATCTTTACAGCCTGGGTAAACAGGTGCTTAGTGATGGCTCAGGTGCACCTGTCCTGGGCAGCTCATGTACATGGTGCCCTGGATGATTAATTTGATCTTTGCTTTCAATTGCTTGTCCACAAGGCCTACTGTGAGTTAGACCTCTCGCTTTAGCTGCCTTCCAGAACCTACTGATATGATGCCTTCATTGTCTCCTAACTGTCCATCTCCCTACTCTGGTTCTCTACTCTGTCCTCCCCACAGCTCCCAAGGGAACTTCTCACACCCAAGTCTAGCCAAGTCCAGTACCCATGTCAATAGCTTCTAATTGTTCTCACAGGAAGGACT